TGTGTGTGTGTGTGTGTGTGTTGCTGTCATACTGGGTCTTTCTTATAATTTGTGCACAGATCCTGTGTAACTGGTGTGTGTATGCTTGTGTGTTCCCTAATACCAGGAGTGTGATGGAAGAGACAGGCACCTGGGGTGTGTCACACACACGTGTACCAACTGAGTCTCGGCCTGGTCATGTTGCTCTCATCGCCGGCTTCTATGAGGATGTTAGTGCTGTTGCTAAAGGTAAGTACACATGTGTGCATGAGTTCAATACAGAAAAAAAAATCAATGGGGAAGGTTAACAATGGGAGTGTTTTGCTCACAAGCTGTGTGTGTGTGTGTGTGTTTCTATTTGTTCAGGCTGGAAGGAGAATCCTGTGGAGTTTGACTCTGTGTTTAATGAGAGCAGACACACCTGGTGCTGGGGCAGCCCTGATATTCTGCCTATGTTTGCCAAAGGTACAAAAGCCCAGCACGCACACACACAAAAGTCTAATCAATATTAACGAAAGATCACAGATTAAAATTAAAAAATAGAAAAACATTTAAGCATGTACAGTAAATAACATAAGCACAAGAAATAATTTTTTTATAAATCTCATGTTCTGTCTTCCGTCTCCCAGGTGCCAGTGGAGACCATGTGGACACCTACACGTACCCAGCAGAGGAGGAGGACTTTGCCTCCACTGATGCCTCCAGACTTGACAGCTGGGTGTTCACTCAAGTCAAAGTATGATAATACTAATGATAGTAATGAATAATTAACGTTCACAGTAATAACTTTTAATTGGTCTGTTGTTTAAAGAGACAAACAATCCCAGAGAGATCACTGTAGTGAAGATTTCATCATCATTCTCTTGAATACATTTTGTTTATTTTTCCTTCTTCCTTTCAACAGTCGTTCTTTCAGTCGGCAAAGTCGAACTCAAGTCTGAGGGCCAGCTTGCTCGAAGATAAGAACATCTTCTTCCTGCATCTGCTGGGCATCGACACAAACGGACACGCCCACAGACCAATGTCGCAGTACGGGAGACGTTTTTTTAAGATTTCTTGTTGCACACTACATTAAAAAAATTCTAATTACATATTGCTCCATAGCAGCATTTAATAAAGCAGTCGTATCGGATATCTCTTGTGTATTGTCTTTAGGGAGTACCTGGACAACATTGGTTTAGTAGACACTGGTTTAGCTGAGTTGGTGTCCATAGTGGAAGACTTCTTCGGTTATGATGGCAGAACAGCCTATGTGTTCACCTCTGATCATGGAATGACAAACTGGGGTGAGAAAAAAATGACAGAGCTATTAATCAGCATGGGAGTGAATTCATTAGACTCTTTACAGCATTTGTTGAAGTGCGTGGATGTTTACATTTGTGTGTGTTTTCTTGCAGGTTCTCACGGTGCAGGGCATCCCTCTGAGACGCTCACCCCTTTAGTGGTGTGGGGAGCTGGAGTCCATAGTGCTCTTAGAGTCACTGAACCCCAGCTGTATGACGATGGATACCTACAAGGTGCTAAACCCATGTGCTCTGATCACAGCTGCTTAACTTAAATGTCTCTCAGACCGTTTTTAGGTTTGAGAGATATTTGATTTTTTAAAATTCTTTCCTGTTTTTATTCCCCTCTGTTTCTCTCAGATTGGAAACTGGAGCACCTCCGTAGGGTCGATGTCAGTCAGGTAAGACCCATGGCCTGACACGACAGTAACAGGAATCAGTGTCACTACATTTACAGTGTGAAAGCAGTGATATAACAGAAGGACCGAGGGTGAAGTGACATATTTTATGTTGTTGTTTGTTTTTTCTGCAGGCTGACATTGCTCCCCTCATGGCTTCTCTCATCGGCGTGCCCATTCCTGTCAACTCAGTTGTAAGTTCAGTGATAATCGAGGCAAAGCAACATTTTCCCAAACTGATTTTGCCAGTACATTTAAGTGGATGCGAAAAATCTGTGTAATTCTCATTTGAGTTCATTATATTTTCTAAAAAATATCACTATTCTGTTTTTATGACTTTCTGCTCATCTTCATGTGTATTTGTGTCATTACAGGGTGTCTTACCTCTTCTCTACCTGAACAACAGTGACCTGTTCAAAGCAGAGAGCATGTACACTAATGCTATTCAAGTACTACAGCAGTTCAAGGTATGGCAGCATGCATCTCTGCTGCTGCTGATTACTATTATTCATATTGGTCGGCAACTGTTGGTAACTTCTTACATCTGTGCGACATACTATCAAGTTATAAATGGTGCTGAAGCACATGGAAGGTTGTTAATGGTAACTGAGTGGTATTTGTATTTTTTTTTTTCATCTTTTTTTCTAGATGAAAATGACCCAGAAAAAGGAGACAACCTTGTCTTTTCTCTTCACCCCATACCAGTAAGTAAAATAAGTAAGAAAATGATCATCAGTGTGTGATTTAAAATATTTTTTGTAAGATTTTTCAACATTAACAGCTTATTACTTACCAATGTATCACAAACATTGTGGGTTCAGCGATGGAAAACACAGTTGGGTAAATTCAGCACCAAAACAGTGTTCAGTTTTCTCTGAACCACCTGCTTTCAGTACAAAAAACATGTTCAGCTGCAGAGAAAACTTATATATAGAACTTTCAATAAAATATATGAACTGTTCATCACAGCATGTTAACCAGGGGCTCATGTCAGGCTTCTTTCATATCGAGAGCATGGATTTAGAAATGTATTTTAGAAAGAACATTAACCAGATGGCAGCTGCTGAAAAATTTACATTCATGGAGACATTGTGTTTAAGACGACATTTTAAATGCAATTCACGCAGTATGTCTTTATTCCTTTGTCTCTTTGTTTTCGCAGACAACTGACTGAGTCAGAACAAGCAGAGTTCACCCACAAAGCCAGAATACAGATTCAGCTGGAGAAGTACGGAGATGCTGTGAGTATCAGTTAAAGACAATCAACAGTTTATACTGTTAAAACTTGCTCTTTAAGCTGTGAACTCAATCATCACTAATGCTGCAGCAAACTGGAGTGTAGTAGCATTTAGTATTATAAGTGATTCCTTTTTAAGAACTTCTTAATAAAGGGTTGAGCAGTGTTGTCTCACGAGAAGGTTCCTGATTGAAATCTTAGTTGGGTCGGGTCTTTCTGTGTGTCTTTCCTCTCTTAACAACTCCTTTTCCTTTCATTGTCTCTCCTCAGATCTCTCTGTGCAAGTCCCTGATCTCCCGCTCCTTGGAGGGCCTGGTGTACTACCATACCTACGACAGGTTCTTCCTGGGTTGCAGTGTGGTGCTGGGATTCGTAGGCTGGACCTCATATGTTGTCTTGGTCATCCTTAAGACTCATGCCAGCCTCCACAGACACCCCAGTCTCCTCAACCAGGTCAGGAAGCACAATAAAATCCCTCTGTCCTGCCATCAAAAATAAGCTTAAGGTAAATGTGTGTCTCAGTTACATCATTTGGTAACGCTTGTGTGTGTGTGCATATTGCAGACTCCCAGCTATACTCTGGAGAGGCTGTGTCTGTGTGTGACAGTAGTGATCGCTGGGTTCCTGCTGATCCAAAGGAGCCCAGTTACCTATTATATCTACTGCCTGCTGCCTGTCCCTGTATGGTACTCTGTCCTGAAAGAGTGAGTAATACACACATTTGATAAAACATATAAAATTAAAATTAAAAGTTTAGCACTTTTTTCATGGCTCTAATTTCAATATTTTCCTTTGTGAATGTATAAAAGCATTTTCTTTGGAGTTTTTTTTTCTTTTCTCAATTTCCTGACTGAAAAATAATCGAATCAATGATCCATTTCAGGTCTGGCACTCTGACAGATTTGATCAAGTCTGCACCTTCTCTTCCACTGTGGAAGTGTCTTGGTTATTTTGTGCTGGTGGCATTTGGAATTGAGTTACTGGTAGGTGTAATCCTTGTAATGTACAGCTAGATGCATATTTCTGCCCTCTGACATAATCTTAAATCTATAATAGTTTAGGTACTGGTACTCTGTTCTGTGGCTGACAGTTCACCTTTGCTGCCCCCAGGTGGTGAGTTTCTTCCATCGCGCCATGCTGACTGTGGGCCTGGCTGTCCTGTCTCTCTGGCCCTTCCTGTCAGGACTCTTTGGGAGGGCCAAGGTAACCATGTCACAGATTCTGGCTCCTAAGGTCAAAGAACATGGAAATACCAACCTTTAGGGGGGGAATATTAACTAGACAAGTGCGTTTATGCCAGGAAGAGTCATAGTATTTGATGATTTTGATTTCCATATTTGAAAAGGTGACTGAAAATGATACGTCATCAGGAAATCTGGGAACAGGAGATGGAGTAAACACTGAAGTTGAATCAGTCTTGACTGATGGCGGTTAAAAGGTTTAAAGGAGATAAGTCACTCTTTTGAAGACATAAAAATTACATTCTGGAGAAAAAACATGCATGATATTTTATTTACAATGCAAAATAATAATGTTGCTGTGACTATAAAAACTAAATAAGTGGTTTGTGAAAAGAAAAAAAGCCTGAGAGTTAAATAAACGCATGTAAACTGTAGCTCAAAGAGAGAGTCTACGGCGACTACACCAACCACGTCCATCAGTTTTTTTCCAATCGTCTCACCCAGGACACGAGCACGAAAAGATGATAATCCTGCGGTCGCACAACACTCGGCCTGATAGACGAATTACACACAGTGGCTTTGACACTTCTTGATTTTCATCTGGTGACAGTAAATAAAGAAGAACAATGGGCTCGACTGTGCGGCTGTTCCCACATCGCTGTCAACAAGCACGCAGCTATTGAATTGAGAAGGGGAAGGAAAGTGCTTCTTTGTTTGGAAAGATAAAGCTGCAGCGTGTCTGCATTATACCATAAAATATACTGTCCCACCTTCACAGATAAACATGCATCTGTGTGTGTGTGCGTGTGTGTGTCTTTTTCCTCAACACACCCATCTGAGCACACCTAACCACACATTAAACATGGATTTACTGACCTCACCCTCATCATTATAATATCCAGATAATAGCAATAAAAGAATTACACTGCTGGCGATTTAGTGCTGTTAGTGTTTCATGTCAGAATTAATTCAAATGATCCTTCAATTAAATCAAATATTAAAAATACTTCCCAGTGAATATGCCTAAGAGATATTATTTTTCTAATTCAATTCAAATCAGACAAATCGACTTTCATTCATCTCTGCGAGGTCAACTGCACGCTCCAGATACACGTACACCAAAAAGAGAAGAAAGAGGAAACTCTGTAAACCACAAACAATCCAGGTGTTAAAGCAAAGAAACCATATATGAGGAAGTTGTAATACATAATCTAAAGTAATACATGTTAACAGATAAATGTGATAAAATATATCAAAAATGAAAAATGCACAAAGAAATGAAGCTACGCAGCAACTGAAGACATGTGAGGAGCTGAGATTTGAGAAGCTGAGCAGCAGACGATATCAATGATTTAAAGGTTAAAGACAGTTTCATGACTTGCTCTGGATTTTAAATGAATTTATGTTTTATTACTTTCTCGACGTCTTTCATCTGTTAAAGGTAAAACAGTGAGTTGCCTGTTTGATTGATTTGATCTAATTGATGTTGTCTGAGAGGAGTAGAGACGTGTGCTCAGTGTGTGTGTGTGTTGTCACATGTAAGTGAAATAGAGGAAAATCGAGGAAAACATTATAGAACAGAGCAAATGGAACTGAAATCATTTAGTTGAATTAAACATAATATATAAGAATAGAATGCAGCATTATAAAGTAGAACAGAACAGAATAGAATAGAACACAATGAAATAGAGTGGAACAAAATAGAACAGAGTTTAGGATAGAGTAGAATCAAGCTGAATAGAATAAAGTAGAATAGAAGAGAACATTCAACATTAAATAATGTAAAGAAACTCGACACAATATAAAAGAGCAAAAAATAAAAATGAGTAGATCCTACCAGAATAGAATGGTAATGAATAGAGGAAAAGAAGATGCAACAGAAAAGTAAATCTGTAAAGTTTTATGCTTTTATGATTTCTCTTAAAAAAACGTACAACTACTCTAAACAACTTTGTTGAAGTAGGGTGGGACGGCGGCTCACAGCTGTCAGGCCTCAGCTGCAGCTCCACACCGACACGCTGCCATCTTTCATTTACGAAATCTCCCCCTGACTGGAGAGAGAGCGAGAACGAGAAAGCACCAGGTTTGTGGTTCTTTGTCTTTATCAGCCTGCTGCACAGGCAGGAAACACACACACACACACACACACACACACACACACNGACATCACCGGGGTTATTTTTTTCTCTCATCAGAATTATTATTTATTATTATTCAACTACTTTAAGAAGATAAACAGTTCGTTCCATAACAAGCTACCTGAATATGATATGAAACATAGGCGTAGTTCACCTTTAAATAACTGCTGAAAAAGCCTCATGGTATTATATTCTCCCAAAAAATCAAAAAGGTTTGAATATTGGTAGAGTCAGGAACATAGCTGCTAATTAACATGTGCAAAAATTAAGCCATTTGCAAAAATAAACTCTTTATATTCTGTTTGTCTGCTCAGTACTTGTGCAGGTTTGCTCACCCTCTTCACTTCAGCCTGTTTCCTCTGGTCATTGCGACAGAGAACGCTGCTGAGCTTTGGTGACAGACAGCAGTTTGTTACCCAGGTAACTGCAGCACATGCCATACTGTATGTGTGTGTGTGATTGTGTATCTTAATTTATTTATTCTAGTTTTACCTGAAAAAACTCAACAGATGCTCCATGTGGCAGTGTGTGCGTACGTGCCCTCCCTCACACACTCCAGCCTGCAGCAAAAACAGGGCCTGCCGCTTCTTAATCAGATCATCAGCTGGACCACGTTAGGTAGGTGGGCGTTATCCCAACTCGACACCTTCGAATTCCCTGGGGAGATGATATAAAATGTCTTATTTACATAATATATTATACATCTCATTTACAGTACACAGCACTTTTTGAGCTTAAGCACAAGATTATTTCTAAGTGGAGAAAAAGTCACTTCATGCTAAAAGTGCACACTAAGGTATTTTCCAGGTTGCTGTGGGAAAAGCTAGTCACCATAACCGAGAGTGAATCATTTCCTAATTGTCAGTTATCTAAATTTCTTTCACATTTAAGGTGGTGGCTCACAGCAGAATTTTTGGCGCACCTCAGCAATGTACCTTTAAATTATAAAGTCTTTTTGGCTCTTAATGTTTTTCACCTTGCAGCTAATTATTTGGCCTCTTGCATATCTGGGCCTCACAAATGATAACAACCCCCACGTTTAATACAGATATGAATGGTTTTCATCAGTTAAAGTGTCTCATCCTGTACTGCAGCATTTTGTCCTTAATGCTCTAAGACCCAGCACATACCTTTCTCCTCATCTCTCCTATCAGGATCGTCTATACTGGTTCCATTGTTGAGCTCTACTCGTCTTTTTCATCGACTGCTCAGCATCTTCCTCTCTCTCACGGCCACGTACCTGCTGCTCAGCACCGGGTAAGATGTGACCTTACACCTAACACACCATGCAGCGACACCAACACTTCCAGTTGTGAAGATCAAGTTTCAGTTTCATATTTCTAATGTGTATGCTTTCTCCAAACTAGGTCAGAGGCCTTGTTCCTCCCTATGTTATCTTGGTTGATGTTTGTGTGGATCAACATTGAGCAGGAAGCCATGCTTGCACAGGGTGTCTCTGGCAGGCAAGAGGTACGACCATGATGTGTTTGTTTCTGAGTTTGAAAGATTTGGTAGAGTACTGTCAAGTCATCTTTTATATTGATCATATTGTCACATATTTATATACATTAGATTTGAATGTATATTTTTGGAAACCTCATCTCTGGTGTTAAGTGTTGCGTGGTTAAAATGTATTTACTTTCCTTTTCCAAATGTTCATTTAAATCAAACAAGGAAATCCTACTCGTGATAACATAACTGTAATCTGAGGGGTAGGTTTACATAAAGCTCTATGTAGTTTACTTGAGGTCTCAGATCACGTGATCGGGTGTGTCTATGCATGTGTATGGATTCAAGATGTTTATTTGTCATATACATGGGTGTATGGCCATGTGTACGGGTTGTGTGTGTGTTTGTGTGATTGTGTATCTTAATTTATTTACTCTGAAGTTTTACCTGACAAAACTGTGTGTGTGTGTGTGTTTTCTTCCAGCTCTCCACTATTGATTTCTCTGCAAACATTGACATCGCCAAGATCCGACATCTAAAGTTAGATGACATCAGAAGATCTTATTTCTTTGTATCCACATTTGCAAAAGTAACATCAGTTAAAATCACCTAAACTGGCACCAGTGTTATTATTTTATGATATAATAATTTCATGTTTAACACTTTGTTTAGCTCTTTCCTGAACCGTACGTTTTCTTCAGGTATTTTTTATAATAACAGCTTTCTTCGGCACAGGGAACATAGCCTCCATTAACAGGTATGTCTTTGCATTTCTATTTGTGTTTGTACTAGGTAAATGGCAGGAAGTTGTGTGTGTGTTTATGGGTTAGAGTATGTGGCTGGACTTGGTCTCAGTGTGGGTGAAATGAAAGTCTGGTTTGAATGCATCATTTGAATACAAAAGCAGAAAAAGTTATCTTTGAAACTCCAGCTCGGACTGATTTCTTAGTTCTGTTTGCATTTTTAACACCAGCTAATCTGTTGTTTAGATTATGCCTTTGATTACATGGTCTGTACTTTAAAACTCATCAGGAAATGAGTGCCCCCTACATATTGTTGTGCTCTGAATGATTAAAGATTCTGGTAACTTTAGAATCACTCTGTTTAAATCGTCACTTTCTCTGTGTCTTTCTTCTTGAATCCAGTTTTGACCCAGCATCCGTTTATTGTTTCCTGACTGTGTTCAACCCCTTCATCATGGGAGGACTGATGATGTGGAAGGTACCATGTTATAAACACTTTCATTTTACACCATACGCTGTGTTTCTGAATGTTTCCCATCCAAATCCCATCTTTTTTTAATCAGCTCAAGAAATAAGTTTCCAAGGAAGAGGGGCAGTGTTGAGCTGCTTTCAGACAAGCACTGAAGTCTGGACATTTCCCTGACATGTTAAGGAGGGGCTGTATGTCAGAACAAAAACATCTGAGTCATTTTCAGAAACCTTTCCTGCCAGTAAAATGTCCAGGAAATGTCCACGTGACCCCATGTGAGAACAGAGCATGAGAATTTATGCTGAGTAAGATGTCAACTTAGAAAGACAACAAGATTTGAGTGTTTGTAGTAGTCTGAAAACACTGTATTGTACTGTATCTG